TTATCCCCTGTTCCCTCCCCCAGCTGCAAGTAATCTTGGAAGATGCTAGATGGGAAGTGGAAGGTTAATTAAAATTAGGACGTCATGATGTAGTTTCCATGAGGATGCCATCCATGAGGCGTGGAGTCACCTATGCTCCTCTAAGGAACCCCTCACCTGGGTTCTGTAAGCAAGCTCACTACCTAAATCTTCCATGACACGAATAGCCTGAAAGAATACATGTCCACAAAACCAGCCCTTCAAAGAATTCTTGAAGCAATACAAAGAACACAGAGAGCGGAGAGAGAAACAACTATACCCCAGGGGCAAGGAAAGAAAATAAATAAAAGGTATAATTAAGGAAATACAAAATTAGACAGGTAACACTAACAGCAATCAAAATGATGACAACCAATACACATCTTTCCTGTTTTTTAAAAATTTTATTTTTATTTTATGTATATGAATGTATTGTCTGCATGTATGTGAGTACACCCATTTCATGCAGTGCTACAGAGGTCAGAAGAGGGCTTCAGATTCCCCTGGAACTGGAGTTAAGGACAGTTTATAGATGCCATGTGGGTGCTGGGAATCGAACTTGGGTTCTCTGCAAGAGCAGTCAGTTCTCTTAACTGCTGAGCCATCTGTCCAGCCCCCACATCTTTCAATAATAACCTTAAATATCAAGGACTGAACTCCCCAGTCAAAAGACACAGGCTAAGTGAATGGATTAAGAAACATAATCTATCTCTTTGTTGTCTGTAAGAAACCCATCTCACCTTCGAGGACAGGCACTACCTTCAGGTAAAAGGATGGAAAAGAATATTCCAAGCAAGTAGCACTAAGAAACAAGCAGGCTTGCAATTCTAATATCTGACAAAATAGACTTCAAAGTGAAACTAATCAGAAGAGATAAGGAGGGTCACTTCATTCTGATCAAAGGAACAATTAACCAAGACGATATTACAATCTTCAACATATATGCACCAAACTGTGGTGCACTCAAATTCATAAAAGCAACACTACAGGATGTTAAGACCCAGATTAACCCCAACTCAGTAATAATAGGGGACTTCAGTACCCCACTGTCTCCATTAGACAGGTCAACTGGACAAAGAATAAACAGAGAAGCATCTGAATTAAATGTTACCGTACATCAAAGGGACCTAACAGACATCTTTTGAATATTCCACCCGAGTACCAAAGAATACACTTTCTACTCAGCACCTCATGGAACTTTTTCAAAAATTGGCCACATACTGGGCCACAAAACAAACCTCAACAAATACAAAAAATTGAAGTAATTCCATGCATTCTAATTGGACCACAATGCAATAAAGCTCAAAATCAACAATGGATGTAATCTAGTCACTACACAAATTCATGGTGTTTAAATGACATGCTCCTAAACAATGAGTGGGTGAAAGGAGAAATTAAGGAAATAAAAGAATTCCTGGAATTCAATGAAAAGGACAATACAAAACAGCACAACCTCTGGGACACTTTTAAAGCAGTCCTAAGAGGGAAGTTTATAGCTCTAAGTGCCTACATAAAAATTAGAAAGAGCTCAAATAAATGACAACACTACAACTCAAGATGCTGGAAAAGCAAGAACAAATGAAACCAAATCGTAGCAGAAGAGAAGAAATAACAAAAATCAGAGCAGAAATTAATGAAATGGAAGCAAAGAAAACAATACAAAGAATCAATGAATCTAAGAACTGGTTCTTTGAAAAGTTAAACAAGATAGACAGACCCTTAGCCCAGTTAACCAAAAGAAAGAAAGAGCAAATCCAAATCAACAAAATCAGAGATGAAGGTAATATTTTTAAAACCTATATTCTACTAAATTTAAAAATCTAAAATAACTTGATGGATGTCTAAATTCATGGGAACCCCCAAAGTTAAACCAAGAACAGATCAACAGTTTAAACAGACCCATAACATACATGGAAATCAAAACAGTAATACAAAGCCTCCCAAATAAAAACT